TCATGTCTTTAATGAAGTCACTCACCAAATAACATTGGTTTTGTTAACTTGAGTCCGAGTCCAAGGGGGAGTTCCCCACCCACACATCATTCCAAAAATTAATGGATTGGCCATTTCCCAATTTTCATCCAACTCCTTTTTTTAGGATATCTTTATTTTCAAAGATCCCTCTACAAGCCCAATAAATATTCTTTTTTGGGGTAATTTGCCAAAAATTTTCATTCCTCGTATACTTACTCTTTACTATTTTAGCCCAACCGGGTTGGAACATTCCATCCTAGTTTTGCTAGACTTGCAACATTCACCCAATGCAGCTTTTTTAGGCCCCATCCTCCATTTAACTTGGATTTACAAATCGTGTCCTGTTTTACCAAATTTATAGCCTTTTCCCCTCCCGCCTCATAGGAAGTTTCTTTGTTTCATCTCCAGATTTTCCACCACCGATTTTGGAAGCTTGAAGGACTTCCTGCCACAAAGAGGGAGATTTTCTTCCATCATACAAGCTTATTGTCTACATTTTCCTCTACTTTCTTGAAAGTCTTTGTAGTTACTCTACCCTCAATGATTGGGGGCCCCTAAGTAATTTTCGTTTTTTCTTTTCAACTGGAATTTTGAGAACTCTATAGAGGACCTTTTATATCCTTTTGTGAATATTTTTTGAGAAGAAAACAGTGGATTTAGTAAATTTCGGTATTTGGCATGTGGCTCCAGCATACATCTCCATGGTGTCCTTAATTATCAAGGCATTATCTATATTTTCCTTTGCAAAAATTGTGCAGTTATAGGATTGGGATTGCTGGTCCACCTTTCAATGCTTTGAATCCTAGGATTTCCTTATTTTGTTTGTCCTGTTTACTTATGAGCCTAAAAGGGATTCACTACACAAGAGAAAGATGTATGGGGATAATGGATCTCCCTATCTAATTCCCCTAGTGGTCTGAAAGTCCTAATGGGGGAGCCATTTATTATAACTCGATATGACATTGAGCTAATGCATTGCATTACCCAGTTAGTCCACTTGTCATGAAATTCCATTTTTCTTAAAGTTTTTTCAATGAAGTTCCACCAGGTTTTCATAAGCTTTTTCCATGTAAATTTTGCATGTCATCAAGCCAATTTTGCCCTTATTTCTTTTTATTGTATCCATCAATTCGTGAGCCACCAGAATTTTATCTATTAGAACTTTTGCTATAGTTTTATAAATAGTGTTGCACAAACTGATTGGTCTAAATTTCTTAGTGGAATCTAGGCTGATGCAGTAAATGTTTTGTTCAGTCCCTTAATCATTCGACCTGAGTGGAAGAAAGCTTTCACAGTGTCCTCCACCGACTTCCCAATGATAAATCCTATTCGATGAATGTTATCATCATCATTATTAATGCTCAAAAAAAATTTAAAACTCCCAAAGAAAAAATTAACCAAAAATATGCTATAGCAAACAGGCCTCAACTACCACATCAAGCTAGTCACTTAAAAAAGTTTGGACCAAACCTTAAGTGTATAAGGCCATTTGGTTTACGGGAATAGGGGTATGGGATCGGAATTGAATTAGAATCCCATTTCCATTTCTAGTGAAATAGTTCTCCTATTTGAGAGAAATCATTCCCTCCCCTCCCTTGGGAATGAAATCTCATTCCATCTGATTTCAATCTCCATTTCAATTCCTATCTTAACCAAATAAACTATAGAAATAGACCATTCAAATTTCGATTTCAATTAAAAACAAAATGCACCCATATAACATTAGATAGAGCCAGGGATGTCAATTGATCGGATTAAGTGTAAACCCATATTAATTTGACCCTAATTTGGGTCAAGGGACAAAGTTAGCCTTAATCGAGCCTTAGTTATAAGGTTGAGAAGAAGTAATGAACAATGCGGAATCTTATATCAACGATGTCTGGGTGGTGTAGTTGGTTATCACGCTAGTCTCACACACTAGAGGTCCCCGGTTCGAACCCAGGCTCAGACAATAATTAAAGTTTTGCCAATAATAATTTTGTAGACATTTTATTAATTAATAACTTTGTTGATTTTTATTACTTTTAAATTAATTAATTAATAGAATTTGTTCATTGCAATGGTCAAAGCCTGACCTAATAATTAATAAACGCCAAGGATCATGATCCGATCCATTTGCACTCCTAATTGTAATTCATTTGTGCATATTTCTTACTCTTTGAGTCTTTTCTAATAAATATAAGATGATACCGATACCAAACTACATGTTTAACTTGATATATGATATCCATGCCCACGACCTTGTTTTTTGGTAAAAAATGTATAATAATACTTTATATCATTAATAACAAAATGGCTAAGCCACATCATGTATAGTGGCTAAATGGAATAAAGAAAGTTAATCTATGCTGGATTTCTATTTCACCCTATTCCATTATAGGTAACAAACATGGTTTTTAGTGAATTTCCAAATCACAAAGTTTCTTGTTTTATATATATAGGGGGAGGGGGTGGACTTCCTCTTCTAGAAAGTTCCTTTCCTGAATTCTTTATACTCAGTTTGGAAGGAGTACAAATGCAAATATATACAGTGTAAATATATATAAAAATAATATAAAATACAAGATTTTGTACTCTACATGTTTGTATTTATACTCCTTCCAAACTGAATATTATAAAAAATCTTATTTTGCACTCTACGTGTTTGTATTTATACTCCTTCCAAACTGAACATTATAAAAAATTTTATTTTGCACCATAGTAAGTTTGTTTACTAAGTAATTCAGCTCATGTCACTTGGATTAATTAGGGCTTAGAGATATGTAACATGTCTATGTGGTTACTTGGGTTCTCACACATGTAAGGACGCAAATAGCTATAGCCCTTCCCGAATCCTTTAAGGCTATGTTTGGTTTGAAGGAAAAGGTAGGAAAACCTATACAAGGTTTCTTTGCCTTTCCCTACTTTTTAGTTTAACCCAAACATAGTTTAAGGAGGTTGCGATGATGGGCTAAATGTGATGGGAAATACAATGACAACGCGACAGAGTTGTAGAGGATGTGATGAGTGTGATAGGGTAGGGAGAATGCAAATGAAAGTACAATGAGGTTAAAGAGGACGTGATGAAAGGCTAACTCGGTGTTTGGCATCAATGCCATTTTTTTATAAAGCGGTGCCACGTAGACATCACATCAGAGAAAGTGGTGCTTCAAACAACACTCTCTTGTTTGGTACTGTTTTTTTCCAAAAAAACATTGCTCCAAAACACACATTGGAAATCGAGAAAATGTGGTTTGGAGTAATGCCAATTTCAATACTTTACGAGAAAATGACATATTGCTGCCAATAATACAATGATGTGACATCAATGTAGCATCATCATGGACAATGAATAATATAGATCAATGTTTAAAACATTGGTACCAAACAAAACCAGTGTTGTTTTCTTAGAAAATACATATATGGTAGCACCCGTTCCAAAAAATAAAAAACATCTTTTTATCATAAACCTATGCTTATAACTTCACATGCACAACATAGTTTTTATGAAAAAATGCAATATTCCCAACACCGATGCCAAACACCTACTAAATGCAATGTGGGGGCAGTGATGCGATGTGTTTTACACTTTACTGTGTGCCCAGGTGTGCTATTTTCAGCTTGTGAAATGTCTTACACTTAACAACACTTTTTATGATCTGCCTTGTAACCTATGTAAAATATGAAAATATGTACCTGAAATTGCTATCAAATTGTTATTTTCCTTATTCGGTGTGTAAACAACTGAATTACAAATCAAGCCTAACAACTGACAAAGATTACTCGTTTTTTTTTTTTTTTTTCATGCAAAAGAGTGGTGATTAAATTGTATTGTGAGTATAGTTGTACCATGTCCATAATAGAATATTTTGTATTATTACAATTACAAATACCTCATTTTTAAGTCAAGAAGATGTGATTTTGTCTCTTAGTCTGTGTTGATTTCATGTAAAAGGAGCATAAACAAATTTTCTTTTTTAAGGCTCAGTTTAGAAGGAATACAAATACTTATATTTTATATGCATTTGAATCGAACTTCATTACAATGAAGTCATAAGGCGGGTTCATTGCTCAAGTAGTATACAGATTACAAAGTACATATGGAGGATTTCCTTGATTGAGTTATTGCACTCATATACAAATCAAATCGTAGGGCAAATCAAAGGTTGTGTTTGGCACCATTGAGGTTTCTTCATGAAACGCTCAGAGGTTTATGAATAAAAATTGAGGAGAAAGATGAGTTGTCAAATTATACAAGGGATTCACTTCAATGAAAAAAAAAAGGATTATAGCTGATAAAAGGCTTTTGGATCTTATTATCAATAAAAGAAATATTTTTTACATAATTTCTAAAATAAAGTAACTTTTTTTTTTTAAATTGTGGAAAAAAAGTAAAAATAGTAAAATACTATTTATCTCCTTCTTCCTTCAGCTATAAGAGAAGGGGAGGAAAAGAGGGAGGAAGAAGAAGGGGAAGGAGAAAAATAAGAGAAGGGGACGGTGGGCTGAGCTGGTTTGATTCTGGTTCGTCGGCTGTGGAGAATAAGCGACGGGGAGAAACAAAAGAAATGAGGAAAATTAGCCGTGATCCGTTATCTAAAGGAAGAAGGAAATGAACAGTATTTTTATCCCTTTTTGATATTTTTTTTATAAAAGTTACTTTCTTTTAAAAATTATGTAAAAAATATTATTTTTATTAATAATACGATGCAAAAAGCTGCCCTTGTTCAATTTGATGTTTCAGTGGTCATTTTAGGGATGCCATTTGATCGGGTTAAGTGGTAAACCGACGCTGACCCGATTCCATTGGGTAATGGCAAGCAAGTAATTATGATTATTTTAGGGGTTGTAATTGTAAATGGCATCCATTTGACATAATTCGAATTTGACCGATCTACAATACGATCCGTAATTAATATTCATCTATATGTTAACTTGGCAAAGAATTATTGGTTCAATGCAGTATTGATCTATCTAAATCACAACCAGCTGAAGGGCAACGCACTTTATTGTTATGCTCCTGGTTTTATCATAAAACAAAATCCATTCTCAGTTCAATTCTGGTACAATACAATAGAAGCATAGAACCATGAGTCCATGACCAATACAACAAAATCATTAAATCAAAACATCAAACTCTTCTCCATCTCTTTCCTTTATCACCAAACCAACTTCAGTGGTCGTATCATCACGTTATCTTCGTGTTCCAGAATCTGCACATACAGTAACAACCAAACAGGATTAATTACTTAGTAAAAAATTAAAGCGACCCAAACCCAAATCCAAACCCTAAAGAACAGAACTCGGACTTACGTGACAATGGTAGACGTAGCCCGGTTCTCCGGTCGGGTCGAACGGATACGGGGAGTTGGTGTCCACCAGATTGAACTTGACCACCACGGTCGTCTGGTTTCCAGGGGGTATCTTCACCACGTTCTTCCACGTTTTCTCTGTAGGGGGTATTTCAGTCAATTTCCCTGTTACATAGGATGCCACGTTGCATGCCACGGCGTCGTTGTTGGTCGTCATACAACTGTTGAACTGGGCCAAGTTCACCAGCTCCTGCACTTTGATTGCCTGAAACGTGGCCAAGTGCATGTGCAGCGGGTGATCGTCGTTGGTCAAGTTGATCACGTCCCACACCTCTGTGCTGCCGGACTTCGGCGTCTCCGTCACCGGGTCGGTGAACTTCTTACCGTTTATTAGGAAGTGCGTCGGGTCTCCCGACGGGGTGGTGTACTCGTAGAACACGATATACCTTCTCTTGGCCGCCCCATCTACTGTCGCCGTTGCTCGGTAACTCACTAGACTGCTTGGGATCTTGGGGGTATCTGGTTCGGTCGGGTTCCCTGGCGGGATTATGAACTTCATCACCACCGAGTTCAGCTGATCCACGGAGCTACCGACCGGGTACGGGTACGGTGCGTCGTTCTTCAGAACAGCCTCGGTGGCGCTTGAAGTTGAGAAGTCAATAATCACATCAGCAATCTCGGCGGGTGCCAACACAACAGTTTGTGTCTGTACGGGTGCGGGCAGATAGGACCCGTCGGATCCGACTTGGGTAAACGAGAGCCCGTTGCTCAGGAACAGCGACACATATCGAGCATTGCAGGCGTTGATGATTCTGAACCGGTACTTCCGCCGTTGGACCTTCAGGTAGGGCCAGGCCTTGCCGTTGACGACGATGGCGTGGCCGAAGTATTCCGGCTGCCACTGCGGGTGAATGGACGGCACGACGCCGGTGTAGTTCATGTAGAGGGAGCCGTCCCTACTGAAGCTCCGGTCGAAGATCATCAGGTGCCGGTCGAACTCCGGCCCGGAGGGGAGGTTCAGTTTCGCGTCCAGGGCGGGGTTGCTGATGACGTAAGCACCAATCAAGCCAGCTAGCAAGTTGACACGTGTCAACCCCTTTGCGTGATCATGGTACCAGAAGTTACCAGCGTGGTGAATGTTGGGATACGTGTAGGTGGCCTTGGACCACGTGGGCCCGGTCTCCCTGAAGTTGGAGGTGAACCAGGCGTCGGGGTGGCCATCGTCTTGTGATTCGTGGATGCCACCGTGGAGATGAACGACCGTTGGGACCCCACCGTTTTTAGGGATGGCGGTGGGGATAGTCGGGTCCCACGGGAGGATGTGGCTTTCAGGGAGATGATTTTGCCACGTCACGGATGTCTGTACACCTTGGATGGCCTCGATTGTGGGACCCGGTACGGTTGCCTCCTCTGGGCAAGTGCCAAATGCGAAGACCGTCGTCACTGGCAAATCCCGGTGGAATTTCTGCGTAAAAGTTTGAACAAGTGGTGACTGACTGACTACGTACATATACAGAAATAACTAAGCTAACTACTCATTTCATGAAGGAATTTAGGGTACGGTGGTCGATGCAAACCCATTTCTTCTCAAACATGCCAATGACGAGATTGCCGGGCTTAGGCGAGTTGGGTCCGTTGGAATAGCCATGGAGTTTGGGCATCACCGGCAGTTCATCGACGAACATTTGCAGAGAACTGGCCACTTGAGTAAGAACCGCATCGGTTACCGGAGGCGGAGCTCGTGCCAGGGCTCCGCTGCAAATCGTCAGGAGTAACAAAATGGAAGCCAATAATACTCTACCCATCGCCATTTCTCTGCCTGTATCAATTCTGCATGCAAAACAGCAAAGGGTTATCGATCATTAAGCTAACTTAGACTCAGATGAAGATGGTGGTGGTGGTGGTGAAGATGGCGAAAGTATAGTAGACTTAGCGCCAACAGATAAGTTAATTCGAGCCTCAAACTGTGGAGGGCAGGTCTCGAGAGGCTACTTCCTTACTGTGACTCCCTGATGAAACCCAACTTCACCACCAGGATCATCATCTTCATCACCATTAGTATATTGCTAAGACTAAAAGAGAGAAGAAATGGAAGCCTTAGCAGCTGAGAAACTGAGACAGACTGACATACCTACGATTCTCAGAGGAGGAGAGAGAGAGTATGCCAGGAGGAGGAAGAAACAGGAAGCGTGTGGCATGCACACAAGCACCAAGTCAGCTATATATAGAAATCATGGCCTACGTTAATCTCATGGCTCCTCTCTGCAATGGAAAGAGGTAGGGTTGATGAAAACCCTGCCAAATGGCCAATACCGCGTGGCATAAAAAAAGAAAAAGGAAAAGCCGGCCGCAAGAGATTTGGTCTGATTCAGGTTGAAATTTGAAGTGGTACCCAGAAAAACAATGGAGACATTTAATCAGATTACTTGAACATCAAGCACAGAATTAATTAAGAATTTACAAGCTGGACTGATATAAGTCAATTAAGGGGTCCACAAAGAGAGAACAAACAGAGGTCTTATTATTAATTACTTCATAGTTCATACATATAATGAATGGAAATGTCTAGATGCTTGTTTCGCTTCTATAGCAAGGTTTCTGTTTTACTAGAATTATCCCCCTGGACTCTAGCTAATAGCAAGTTAATTTATCAAAATGCATTACTAACTTCTTATATATAAATCATTCAAGCTGTTAAAAGGGTTGATACAGTCGTTGTAACTGTCGAAGCTAGTGATCCCTGCAGTCATTATCTGTGTTATGTTAAGTTATTTCAGAGCTTGGTCTAAGTTCTAACCAGCATTGAACTCAGGCTCTGTGGGGGACAACTGATCGATGGACAAATCTCGGGTAGTTTTCTGTTTTCACACGTTAGCGTGCTTCTTGTCTTGACGAGAAAACGTAAGTTTTTAATTAAGAGAGAGGAAATCGTAGAAGAGGAGGAAGTCTTACTCTGCCATGGTTGGATAACCTTCCTCATTGTTGTCTACCCACCAGAGATAAACCATTGTCTGACTGGTTCTTGGTCTCAGACATTCGTTATTTGATGATGCTGATGTTTGAATTAATTATGAGTCCCAAGAGTCTTCTTTCTTCCACCTCCTAGTTAGAAATATATGGAAATTTATTGAAATTAAGACCTCGACAAGTCAACAACTGTTTAAATTTAACACTTTGATTCGTATTAAACTTTAGAGAGCACAAGTTCAGCGACTAAACTGGAGCAAATTCCGGTTGCAAGTAAATTAATGGAAGCGTGGTTTCAGGTTATAAAGATGAAATGGGGTGGTGGGAGAAGTTGTGGGAGAAGTTGTGGGTTAGGTACATTTCATTCTCTCCCCACCTTTTGGTATCAATATGATATATCATCTAATCGTGCCGAAACTGGTTTATGAAACAACGGCGGCACCAAAAGAAGCAAATCGTTAATTTGGTGGTCTGAACTTTGAAGCCCNCCCCCAAAAAAAAAGAAGAAAAAAAAAAAACAAATTTGGTGGGCAGACAAGAAAGATGGATTGCCAGGGTTCAATGCTAGATCTATAAGTAGGTCTGATTTCGCCTTCACCAATTAATTGAAAATTTTATTTTGTAAATGGGGTTTTAATAATATACCCCTTAATTGGTCCTTCATCAATCCAATATAGAACTTCTGTGTCTCACCTTGTGTGAACTATTTTAATTTCCAAAGTTGGGGAAATCTGAATCCCTCTTATATATAGTAAGAATTAAAGACACCAGAGGCTTTCAGGTTGGGGTGTCAATGGACCGGACCGGGTTTGGGTTGTACCAATTCGACTCAGAATCAATTTAAACGGATTCGGCAAACCAATTTTGAATTGGGCCAGTTCAGATTAGTAGTCGAAATTGGATTGAACCTGGTCCATTTGTAATGGATTTATATTGGACTGGGGTAGATTAAATTGGAGTTCGAATTCAATTAATACTCCGCAAATAATTGAATTGGAAGCACCCCAATCAGATATGATCTCATAGTATTTAAATACTTAATTGCATAAAATCAGTATGTATATATATTGGTAGAGTTGGTTTGAATGTTGTATAGAGTCAATCATATATATAGTTCATTTTATTTTTATTAGGAACAATGACTTCTTTGCTCCGGAGAATAATATTCAAGTATTAACATGCCTAAATAATCAAAATTTTCTTCTTTCCTAACTCAGAACTTCTACATAAGAAAATGTCAATTTGAAAAAGAACCATATTTACGCAAACTTCGTCGTTGCAGAACCTTGTCCAAGTACGCGTCTGAAACTTTTCCAAGTTGGTGGAGTGGACCATTCAACATTTTGCTTTTTTTTCCTAGCTGGTTGAACTGGCCAATTCCTACCGACAATCACATATGCAGCTCTGTAGATCCCATCTGACTGTAATTTCTGGAAGCTATACCGTGTATACATATGTTTAATATTGTTCACATTACCCTTTCACAGTGGGAGCCATGAGTTTTGATTTTAATTCCCTTTCAAAGAGAGCCAGAGGTATCTGTATTGTTCAGTCTTCACATACTTGTGGGTCTGTTGTGTTGGTTTCAAAACTAAATTTGATTTTGCAGTCTATATACCATAGTTTGTTCCATTTTATATTATATTGTATACCGAATCAATGTTTCTTTCCTCTTTTTTTTTTCTTTTTTTTTTTATTCCATTTTCTCTGCTAGTAGTTAGGTAATGTTTGGGAATGCTTATTGTTTCTAAACAGGTATTTTTTGGATAATTGCTTATTAAATAAACAGCTTATGAGTGTTTGATGAAAAAACACTTCTTTCAAGTGGGGAGTAGCATGGACTACCAAAAAAAGGGGAATAATATAGGTATTGGGATTATTAGGTGGTGGATCAAGATGGGCCAGAAACACAATAAGAAAAGCCTAAAATTTGGGCTTCTTCTGTTCTTCAAAATGGGTTTATTTTGTTGAAAAATCGCTTATAGTTTTTTTAATCAAACTCCCGTAAGTGCTTTTTCAGTTCCTTCTTGAAAGCTTCTAAATACTTTCCCCAATAAACGTTTACAAAAAGCACTCCCAAACAAGAGCTTAAGCTTGGGTTGTAGACTTATAGTGGTGTCCAGTTATTTCATTGATAAGTGACCCTCAGACACGATCGAGTTCTAGCTCTTTGAAACGGAACACTTTCTCTTTTGACAATGGATACCCAAAAAGCACCAGGTCAACCATCAATATCGGCATGAACCTTCCATTGGTCGGCTTTGAATCTTTACTTCAATGATGGTCTTGCGTAATCGTTTTTCTTAATCAGAATTACTGATCACAGCAAGCTAACGAAAGCGAGAGACGCTGAAGTGCCTTTTCTTGAATCCAAATATTTAATTCAATTACTAATCTTGTGAAATCTGGACAGCGATGGCTGATTTGTTTGGAGTTTGGACTGCAACAGTGCAACTATTAACAATGTCCACGAACCAATATTGTAGAAACCAGATGGGGATTATTGGTGCATGGTCAGTTGTCAACAAGTCTGGAGTCAACTTCTGAATGCAATACAATCCAATTGCGTTAAGAAGTGTCTAGTTATACAATATATAAACTATTCACAATTGTTTAGAAAATAGCTATTTTGATTGAAACAGATATTTTCTCAATCTTTCTATTTTCTTTTCTGTCCATTCGCTTTCTTTTTCACTCTTAGGACTTTGGAGCATTAAATAAAGCAATCCTAATGGGTTGACCATGGTTTTTATGTCAGTGAAATTTTGAGAATTTAGGTTGATACAGCCACAAATGCTAAGTATGAAAAATGCAGGGTTAAATGCTTAATTAATGAATTTCGAATATAATTTTGAAATCGCATCCAAAATATTGGGATTTTCTCACTTATTCTGCCTGGAAATTTGGATATAATATTAATATAATAAAAGTCGGTAAATATAAATATAAAACACTCAAATTCGACCAAAGTCTAAAATTTCCAAAACTTAAAATTTTAGTTTGATATCTAACAAAATTGGCATGGACAAAACAAGTCATAAAACTTCATGAAAATATTGGAAAATTATGCAATTTAAGTATGACAATGTGTTTTGATGCACATTCCATGAGTTATGGTGTATGGAGACTTAATTAAATAGCATAGGTAGACAACCGTGCCACATGATCTCCCTATTAAAACAAATGTTCTGGGAACATGTGTGGTTGTGCAAACTCACTTAGCTGATAAAGAAAGACCACATTTTTAAGCAAATGTGAAGTTACATTATGATGAGGATGAGCAATTTATACTAGGTTTAACTTTTTTTTTTTTTTTCAAAATTGACTCCACTCAAATAAAGCTATCAAACTCGACTAAGAAGCATGGGATATTTTTTATAATTTCAAAATGTTAATAGTCATTATAATAAAATAAAATCCGGTTTTGGCATGAGAGAGAGAGAGAGAGAGGAGAAGGGGATGGTAAACAATAAATATTTATATATTGATGCTTCTTTTTTTTCAGTATTTTTAGCTCAGCCATTTTTTTTTTCAATACTAGTACCATGAAAACACCTTATGTCTATCTTTTTTGGTAATAGATGAAAACACTTAAATTGTAGATTTGAAACAAAGAGCTATATAATGTTGCAGCAATATATTTGCAATACCAACTTGTGAAATTGCAAATGGTCGTGGAGTGCAATGAGATGCAACTATAAATCACTGGTACAAACTTTATCACTCAAGTTAAAGCATATAGCATTTACATGATCTTGATTTCATTGGATAAATAAGAAAACTGTAAGGGGTTGGCTACATGAATCCTGTTTTGTCATTCCATTCTATTTAATGCCATATCTATTGTTAAATTATTTGCGAATCTGATGAGATGCTTTTAACTACTATAAGCAGGATAAAAGAAAAGAGAAATGGATCATCCAGTAAAAAGAAAAGTAACATGGGTTGTATATTGATGCTTTACAACGCATTTTCCAATCCTACATTTCAAACCAAAAAATATTCAAATATAGAAGAAAATACTTTCTTTTGAATTTTAATTGCAGGGACTTGGAAGCAAATGGAGATAGGCAAACCTTAAAACCCATATATATTTACATATGCGAACTTCTCTAACTGTTTTTTATCTACATAATTGGAGAAACCTGTCCTACAAAACACAAGAAAATTCATGATCAGAATTGAAGCTTGCCCATATATGTTGCTTCATAGGCCTCTATTCCATCCTTCAAGAAACCTTCCAAAAGAACTAAACAAATTATATTTACTGGGTCAGAGCAAATAAAATAGAACCACATGACTCACTGCAAAGAAAGGATACTAGAATTTTCAAGGTAAAATTAATAAGCATACAATACAGTACCAAAGACCAAAGAAATAAACTCAAGGTAGAAGGAAAAGCATTTTTTTTTTCCTTTTTTTCTTGGGGCAGGGGGAGAGAGGGAAGGGGAGAAGGAGAGAAATTTAATCTGTTATCATGTTCCTTTTAGTACTTATAGAGAGAGACGTGGTGTTGCAAACATGTAAAGCCCTTTTTCTGCAACCAGCACTACATGTAGAAAATTGCTGGGATTTTAGATCTCCAAGCAAGATGAAAAGTCTAACAAATCTATCTTCATTTAGTTTGTTTCATCAAAAAGAAAATTAACTGCAAGTATTTGGAAAACTCCTAAGCCCTAGCAATGTCTGCTTGCTTCTATTTTCTACTTTGCCTTTGTGACTGTAATACTTCACAAGAAAGAAAAACTCTTCCATGTCAGATCCTAGTGTATAGATGTTGGTGACAAATCTATTCTTCCAAAAAATACTTGAGGCTTCTAATCTTGCCACAAGATAACCATAAGACAAAGTATTTAATAGTCTGCCTTTTGCAATAGACTTTGTTGTTACAATGTGGTTGATTATCTTGATTTAAAACTCAGATGTGTAGCACAAAAGATAATGGAATTTCACCTACAGGAAGTACAGAAACAAAGGTTGCACCAGCCAAATGGAACGTGAAGAAAATTGTCCACATGAAATTGATCAATTCAAAATTGGTGAAGGGAGGGAGACAAACAGGTCTTTTATCCTTTTCTTTTTGGGAAATATATATCATCTCATTTATAACACACTGTTGTACATGAGCTATATGTATAAATGCATAAAGCTTTTGACACAATGTATCATATACTTTACCTTCTCTGAAAGAACAGAAAGATGAGTTCAAGTAAATATTTACTTGCAAAATACTATATTTCTCAGCATCATCATCTCTTTGTAGCATCAATAAACATAGCCCTTGTCCAATGCTCGATGTCCTCAGTCTGTGATGGTGGAGGGGGCAAAGTGGGATGCTCCACAATATCCCACCCTTCAACAAGGCTTTCCACTTTTCCAATATCAGACATCTCAGGAGCATAAAGAAAACTAGCAGCAGAATTTGAAAGGTTATTTTCACAAGTGTTACGCTGCCAAACAGTAGAGAACAAATATTAGGAAGAAAAGAATATTAAAAGACTGACATCCTTAAAAAGACTAACAACACTGTTTTACAAGAAAGCCAAAATCATTTTAATAGAAAATTTACAGGATACAAAAATAACTGTTAAAATGGCAGAATCAACATGATTTCATAAACAGAAGCACAGCTAATATACGATCAATGAATGGAGCCTTTAGCATACCATGAGAAAACTTATTAAATTATGCCCATTAGATCTTCAAGGAAGTAGTCGATCAAGACTACAATCACTTTTGAATTCAAAAGAAAAGAATGAAGAAATTTCAGAAGAGAAGAAGAAGAGAAGGAGAGAAGAGAAGAAACACACGAAGAGATTTTGAAAAAAGAGAGGGTTGATCTTAACATCTGCCGACCCACTCTTAATATTTATATATATTGACTAATTGTAAAAGGGCTGATTTGCCCTTATTGCTTACATGGCAAATAAACTAATAATAAAGCTGAAATAACAAACTGAAATAACTACCAACTAACACTGACATAACTAACAGAAATATGCTGCCATACGAACA